CTAGAATGTCATATGAAACCAAAATAGAAATTTTTGGTTAAAAACTCTACTTGTCGTGTTTGGAGAAGGGGGGGGCCCTAATGATTTGAGGCTGTTTTTCTGCAAAGGGACCAGGACGACTGATCCGTGTAAAGGAAAGAATGAATGGGGCCATGTATTGTCAGATTTTGAGTCAAAACCTCCTTCCATCAGCAAGGGCATTGAAGATGAAACATGGCTGGATCTTTCAGCATGACAATGATCCCAAACACACCGCCCGGGTAAAGAAGGAGCAACTTCATAAAAAGCATTCCAAGGTTCTGGACTGGCCTAGCCAGTCTCCAGATCTCAACCCCATAGAAAATCTTTGGAGGGAGTTGAAAGTCTGTGTTGCCCAGCAACAGCCACTAAACATCACTGCTCTAGAGGAGACCTGCATGGAGGAATGGGCCAAAATATCAGAAACGGTGTGTGAAAACCTTGTGAAGACTTACAGAAAATGTTTGACCTCTGTCATTGCCAACAAAGGGTATATAATAAAGTACTGAGATGAACTTTTGTTATTGGCCAAATACTATTTTCCATGATAATTTGCAAATTCTTTAAAAATCAGACAATGTGATTTTTCTGGATTTTTTTTCCATCTCATATTGTCTCTCATAGCTAAGTTATACCTATGATGAAAATTACAGGCCTCTCATCTTTTTAAGTGGGAAAACTCGCACAATTGGTGGCTGACTAAACACTTTTTTGCTCCACTGTATGTGTGCAATCACCTAGGTATATGGTTTACCAGGACAATTGTATACATCGGGACATTGTTATAATGAGCTTCAAAATACAAGTCAATTTAATACAGTGGTTTTCAAAGTGTGTGAGAGTTCTGACAAGTTGTGTGTAAGTTACCTGGCAAAAAAAAGTCTTCCAAGACTATTGTTCAACATCAGAATCACTTTTACGGCAGAACAAAGAAATTCACAGTTATGTTAATAATATGCGCATCCGCTGCATCGAGAAGGGTCTGGCTGCAGCCAAATGCTCTTGTGCTCTTGGCTGCAACCACTGAAAAGCTGCAGCCGCAATAAAGAAGTGTACTGAAAATTGCGAACATGTGGTTGGGTCTGTCGTGCATTGTTTAGTGGTTCCAAAACCCAGGATTGGGGCATGAAAGACCCGACCACATGTTTGCACTTTTCAGTACACTTCTTTACTGCAGCTGTTGACTTGCATACATGGCTGCAGCTTTTTGGCTACAGCCTTCACACATCAATGACAGGATCTAGTTCATTCTGTTTTAAGATGGCTCTGCAGTCAAAAACAGGCTCACTGCAGCCACTAAGAGTAATAGTATTAAACTCTCACTAAGTTGTATATTTTTCATCTCTGTTCACAAGTTTCTGGATTTTCTTTTCTTTTTCCTTTCTTTTTTTTTTTAAGACTAAGACTGCCAAACATGGGAAAAATAAAGTTCAATGTTCACATTCTGTTTAAATTGTTGCTTTTTTGAAAAGGTGGTGAAGACTAATGAAGCAGCCTAGTGACAAAGGTTACAAATAGTTGTTTGGTATGAGAGTTGTTTGGTTTTAAAACAAATTACTGAAGGATTTATTGTGAATGTGTTTATCTAAATAAAGTTGCAGCTAGGCATTTCTGTCATTGTTTTGTTTAGATGGGAAGTGAAAATATTTCTTCCTGCCATGTGGGGAATGAGAACCACTGGGTTAACAGCTGAATTTGTGTGTGCAGTAACGTAGGTATGGTTTACGGGCACAATGGTACATATCTGGTCATTCTCATGAGTTTCAGAGCATAAGTCTGCTGTCACATCTAGTTATGATGTGTGTTACACAAAAGGACCCGACACATATCGTTGCAAGCTGGTGAATGTTTAAGCGTTTTCTTGTAGCTTTTTGTTTGCGCAGCTTTCCTACTGCATTCTCCTGATCAGCGCACATTCAGGAGAGGCATGATTAGATGATAAAGATCACCTGGGGTGGTCAGTCTTCCCTGACACCACACCCTGAACCCACTACTCCACCCCTCCCCTGCAGCCGGCTAACAAAATACATTCCACCACCTAGCCCCCCACCCCCGCACACAGTTCTTTTAGTGTATGAGATATAAATGAGGTGCCCTGGTCAGTCAGGGCAATGGTTTTTCATAATTTCTGGTCAATCTCTTTATCTTTCCAGGTCACTGAATTGGGAAATGATAGCGAAGGTAGAGTAGGCCCCTGCTAGCTGTCCCCCAGCAGATTGTCCCAAGCAGCCAGGGAAACAAGAAGGCTGGGTGACGGTGAGGAGGAAGCATGGTCTTAACTCATTCACTGCCAGCCATTTTCAAATCAGGTAACTCCCCACTGCCATTGACGACGTCAATGGCAGTGAATGAGTTAAACAGAAGCCCCAGGTACACAACCAACCTGTTCATGTGTCTAACAGTTTTTCCCCAAATTGCTGTCTTCTGAGTGGTGTCCAAAAAAAGACGCTGTGGGCTTCATAGATAATTGGGAAACTTTCTGGAGGAAACCTGGTTTTGTTAGGAGAGACTGCATCCAATGCATGCAACAATTACTTCCTCCATACCATCAACATGTTTTTTATACCCCATTCCTACAAAACTGCTCAAAGAAGTCCTGCCATTAATTAATGCTTCAATCTTAAATATGATCAACCTATCTCTAATAATCGGCTACAATAAATATTGATCAAAATAGTCCAGAGTACAGCCTCTCCCTTTCTCATATTAAAAGGTGTGAAACATTGCATTGTAGCAGTTTGGCCAAAAATGAATCTGTTTTACCCCAAAAGGAATTGTTACGTGTCTGCATGTTTTCTTTCCCTCCTTTTGTTTGCCATTTCCTGAGGTACACAGATTGCAGGCTGGTGTCAATTCGGGGATCTCCAGCTAATTAGAGGAAGGAGGCTTTGATTGGACAAACCAGGAGTGCACACCTTGATAAGGAGACTCACCTGTGGCTGGGTGTGGCTCTCTTCCTTAGAATTGTTTGGCACATGTGTAAAGCTCCTTTGGTGTATTTCTTTTGTTTGAAGTTTGTGGTGGGAGTAAAGAGGACTAGCTAAGTCTGGGGACCCCATACACTTACTCACGTAGACTCCTTTCTGTTAGAAACACTAGGTAAGTAGGTTGGTGCCACCCATGTAATTTTGAGCTTGTTTTGAGTTGAGGATTAGGGTCTTTTCCCCCTGTTTTTGTTTTTCTAGGCTAAAAGCTCAGCTAAGTTTTGGGTTTATTTGGCACAACCAAACTGTATGAATTTGGGTTATTGTTCTTGTGAGAAAACTGCCATTAAACTTTTTTTTCTTTATTACACTTGTACCGAGTTGTTGAGGTACCCCCTCCTGCTCTCGAGGAGGCATAACAGGAATCAATAATATGGTAACAAAGCTGTACAGAGCTATTGTGTGTCAGATGATGTTCCTATATTTAAAGCCGGACTTTACATATTAGGAAATAAAGTCGGTGAATAAAATTCAAATATAGTTTATCCCAGAAGAATAACAGACAAAACACTAAATGGAAATGATGCCCGTTTACTCTTAGATGAGAACATCAGTGTCCAATTTTGTGCACATTTTATACTTTGAGATGTTAACTACATACATAGAAACGTTTTGAGTCACACCTTTTAATCTTTTAATATAGATGTATAAAAATAAGAACTTAGCCATACAGTCTACCTTTCAAATATTACTGAAAGACTGAGTTATTCTAAAGAGCGCTCTGGATTCAGTGTGGTGCTGTAATAGGATGCCACTCTTTCAACAAGTAACAACAAGATATCCCACTTGTTGTTGGATATCTAGTAAGGAAGAAAGTTCAGTCTGCTATAAGTGTTATTGCAAAGTGGCAGACCACTGCATAAATCTTTCCACTGCTTTGCTGACTCCTTAATTGCAGAGCTCCAAATGTCCTCTGGTATTAACATCAGTACAAAAACTATTAACCTATACCATGAAGCTCAAGGTATTCTTAGCTAAGCAGCTCCTATAGGTGGCCCAGTACTTTTGTCCATGTAGTGCATCTCAAAGACTATAAAGAGGACCCAAAAGAAATTGTTGAAGGACTGGGTGCTACCCTGTAAGCTGCTTCATGTGGTGTTTGAGGTATGAGGGGTTTATACATCCCTCCTGCCTTTAAAGCACATAAGAAGAGGAAAGGATTATTAGGATTACTGTAATTTAGATTAGTTGATTACATGAAATCCACCTAATTTTTTGCCTAATACCTAACTGACCATCAGCAGTATCATTGGAAACCTGCAGGTATGTGTGACCTGTGCTACTTTTTATTATCCTTTAGGGCACTGCTGGCAACAGAGAGACAGAAGTTACTCAGTAGTCAGTTGCTGTTATTATTTATAGGAACTACCTTGTAAACACACTCTTCCACATATGAAGGGATATTCACCCTCCCTAGTTGTTGAAACTCAACTTGGTCTCTACGCACAACATATAATGCGCTTATATTTATCATACAAACATAAAGGATGTGATATGAAAATACAACTACTTAGTTCAATATCTTTTTTAAGTGTTTACAGTAGTCTGCTAGTGTGCAGTTTTCAATATTTAACTTGGCTGGTGGTACTGTATTATGTAAATAGTCATTCCCTGGTTGAAACTAAGGTGTGGTTCAAACAGGTTACATAATGTGGTGAGCATACTTTGTACTGCTCAGGTCAAATCAGTCCAACCAGTACCTTATTTTCTCATTTCAATGGCACTTGGTCTAGCTTTCTTTGGAACTGAGTTCATTCTACTTTTTTTGTTGCAAGTTGTTTGGCCACAACTTACAAGCATATTGACACAACAAGGAACTTGTCACACATCCATAAACATATAATTAATGTGATCTGTATTTACTACACTCAACGTGTTTTCTGTCTTTTTCTGTTATCTGCTCAGATGCTCACTAACTCACCTGGGCTTCTACAGCATAATAGCCATACAACAACAGAAGGGCCACAGGTGTAAACTACTTCAGTACTGTGCTAAAATTAGGCCTACTCCATTAGAAAAAATGTTCATTCATTTTGGTGCTTCTTTTGATCCCTGAGCTTTTAACAAGCATTTTTAACAATTGGACAGAACATGAAACCCTCATATTTTGTGTATTTCCCCCCCTAAATATTCAGTTAATGCTCTCTGGACTTTGGAAGTATTTTTGTGTGTCTCTGCATTATTATACCTACATTATAATCAATCCACTACTTTTTGGCTACTTGATATATCTTTTTAGAACTGTGATATTAAATTTGTTGCAATTTATGCTGCTTTTGAAAAACACATTTTTAATGTCACCGGCCTGACACCGACGTACCCGGATGAACAAAAAGCGACTTTGCCAAAAAATGACTGCGGGATCGCCTTGTTACAGGAATGTTCTTTCTGGCTCAAAATGACTTGATATCATTTATGAGAGATGTGTTTGACAGATTATAGACCAACAAGTCATTTATAACAGGCCTGTCATCATTTTTTTTTCCAAACACATACCGGAAATCCCTTTTTGGCAGGGTTTCTCCAAAAACGAAACTGTGAGCAGCACACCGTGCAAACAACATATCGCACACAGGCGGCACTGCTTTCTTTGTTCCTCTATTAGCCTGCATTCTGGAGCAGAGAAAAGACTCTGTCGGTACTTCGCCAAGGTAAGATAATTGCCTTGCCATGTTTTGTTCCATATTACAATCTCCATGCGTAGTTTTAAGTGACCCGGTTAATGCACTACAATATGATTCTAATATATTGAACTTGCTTGGTGTAACATGGTATTGTGCAGAGATGCAATGGGCATGAAAATGTGGAATATTGAAATGTCTTGTAGGCTCATGGTGGTTGCCCGGGGCGGCATCGTGGTGGGGGGCGGATAAAAAAATTGATCGTACTTATGCTGCCCGACATCAGCCAGCGCGTAATGGGAATGGCCTAGGCACCGATCGGTTTTCTATCGCCCATTTGCTGGGAGTAAGGGCGCCCTCCGTTAGCGAGGTGCGCCTACTGCTTGCAGCACAGGGAGGAGAGGGCGGCGGAGGATTCTCTGGCTGGAGCAGCATCTAATAACCAGCTCGCAGAATAAAACAAAATAAAAGCAAACAACAAACACGAAAACACCAGCCATTATGACACAGATTTATAATTTGCACCGATGTTTTTTCGAAACGTGAAAAGTGAGCGCGACAGCCCTCGGTGCGCCTGCTCGCTGCTGAAGTCAAAGTAAACTTTATTGTCATCTCCGCTACATACAGTCCAGTATATAGAGAGACGAGGCTCCAGTTACAGCAGTGCAAGTAAACAAACAATAAATATAAAAAGAGTAAGAAAATAAATATACACTTTAGGACCAGGGGTAAAGGGATCAATAACAATTTATAATTTACAGTTTGATGATTTAAAGTCTCACACACAACCTGCCGAAAGGGGAGGGGGGCCGGCTGCTTCCAAATAGAGCACATTTCATTCATAATGATGTAAATCCAAGCCCATTATGTATTCATGATTTGAATCCTGGGTTGTGTGAAATCCCAGAAATACACCTTAGACAAAGTGAATCTGTGAACTAAGGTGTAGGTCTGTTAGGTTATGTTGTGGTGATCCTCGAGTTGGTGGATTTGTGGTCATACTGGAGTGCAAAATTAAAACCAATGGAAGATGGACAAGAAAAGTTCAAAGCCATCAGGTGCTCAGTTTAGAAAAAATAGAAAAGAAGAGGAGGAACGAGCAAAAGATACAGGTAAGCAGATGTGTCATTGGATAATGGCAGGTCATCCTGAAACAATCAGAATCAGAATACTTTATTAATCCCTAAAGAAAATTATGTGGGTTACAGTTGCTCCAAGAAGAAATGGTAAAAATAGTAACAGTAACAGACTAAACCCCAAAAATATATTAGGTTACAGATTTTAATATTAATTAGTCATTGTCAATTGTTGATTTGTCCTGTTCTCATTGTATGACGAATTATGATGGCGGTTTAGTAGCCGTTTGCATGTAATGCATACTCTCTCTCTCTTTGTGTGTGTGTTTCTCTGGTGAAATTCAGTATGGTTCTGACAACAGTTTTATGTTAATTTACAATCCTTAATATGTTTTATGTGTGTGTGTGTGTGTGTGGGCGGGGGAGGAGGGCCAGAGGGAATGTTCGCCCGGGGCGCCAAACAGGCTAGGACCGCCACTGTTTACGACTAAAAACAGACCTGCAATACAAATGCATTATTTGGGAGCAGGTTATGAATAAAAACGTGTGATCACGTTAAGCCCACACAGCCCAGTTTTTAAACAGAAAAAAAAAAGATGCCACAACAGCAACAGTGATGATGACGCTAGCACACTAACGTGGAGGCAGAGTCTGTTTACACAACACAAGGAGCAAAGAGACGGAGCCGTTACCGAAGCAGTGAGCTCAGAGTGAAAGAAAATGTGCTTCTAGCGTCCAAAACAGCAGCGCCGTTCCTGTAATCACCGTTAACACCTTTACTGGGGAAAAGGTAGCAGGAATTTGCACTGAGGATATCCTTCATCAAAGCACCTGATCAACAAACTCCATAATGAAGAAAAGGGAACTTTTTAACTGCTCCATCGACCGCCATTTGTTTTACACAGCAAAAACAAACTGCACTATTCCCCTGCACTAAATTGTATTAAAATCTGCAGATTAACTGTTTACTTAGTCTAACACCTGACTGGTTTAATTATACAGATTGCTGAAGGCTGACGGCGGCCATCCTATTTAACATGGAAGCGATACCTGCAGCAAACGATGGTAAGTCGAAAGGGGAGCGTGAGGTGTACTAGAACATGTTAATTTCAACGGCTGTAACATTTTTCAGATAAAAAGTGAAATGATATGAAATATTGTATTCATGAAATTGCATTATCATTTATTAAAGATTCAGGCCGCACAGCTGTGGACTTTTCTATGTCAGGCAGTCTGCACACGGAGAAGTGAAGTACAATTCACAATTCAAAGCATATATTAGACATATGAAAACACGAAATATTTGTGATTGGCTACTGATGGGGAAATGCCATGGTTCAGATTCAATGCTCCCTGATTTGTTCCTCTCGTGGTCCTTCCACATGGCAATGGTCTTTGACCTCCAGTCAGGGATCTTGTCCTGCGTGAGAACACTCCTCCCTACTTTACAGTTGTTACCAGGGATGTTTTATTTCCATGCCGATGTCAGCTTTAACCCACACAATAAAGTCTCCATTTCTTGTTGACTAGAACACCCGGTTATATCCCCCCACATAAGGCAGTCAAGGCAGTCTCTCCTATCTGAAACTGGTGTGTAAGCCTGTAGCAATTGATAGATGATCTGATATCCTCGTGTTGGTATTGTTCCCACATCATCATAATAAATGTTGTTCCAGGTTCAACATTGCAAGGGACCAATCACATTGTTGTGACATCATACTTTTGCAAGCCAAGTGATTCATTCATTTATGAAATTCCAATGTTGCAAGGACATTATGTATAGTGCTTACCGTTTATTAAAGAACAGTATCCGGAAATGCAACGAATTGCTGGATTGGCGGACAGAGGCGGTTTCTTGCACGTTTAGTGATGTGTCGGTAGCGAACGAAATGGCTCTTAGAACCGCCTCTTTGAAGTGAACGACAAGAGCCGGCTCCTTATTGGGAGCCTTGGGTTTTTTTTTTCTTTCTCTCACCCTCTCTCTCGCCCTTTTTTCCGCTTCACTCCGCACGCGAGCCTTGTGCTTTGCGCTGGGAAGAGGAGGGAGGGGCGGTAGTTGCACTCGCAGAAGCACAGGAACAGAGCGGGAGGGAAAGAGAGAGAAAGAGAGCCAGGGACAACAACGTCACATTAGAAAGGTATAATAATCATCCACAACTATTTTCAGTTGCGGATGATAAAGGATTCAGAAAGTTTATTCCTGCAGGTCCATATGACAGAGAATGTGCATCTTCTTTTTGTCTTCATATATTAATTTATATTTAATTGTGTTGTGGTTTGCAGTGTTTTGTGTTGTTTCACTTTAAATTTGTTTAAAAGGAAAAAGCTGAAAATTTAAATAGTTAAAAGTTTAAAATGTAAATAGTTGGGTTTTGTATTATATGATTTATTTATTAGATTTTATGTGGAGTGAATAAATAAAAGTATATTTACGGTGGCCCCTACAGACAAAGCACGTACAAACTCCAAAACACGTACAAACTCCAATATATATTTATATATAAACACATATAAATAAAACCCGAGTTGTTTTTTACATTAGGAATTCATTTTGTGCACAATTTTATATTGTTGTTAATAATAAATTAATTAAAGCAACAAAACAACTTGAAGAGCCCGTTGGGAGCCAAAAGAGCCGGCTCTTTTTAGTGAGTCGAGCCGAAACAGCCGGTTCTCTAAAAAGAGCTGGAAATCCCATCACTACGCACGTTAAGTAGATTCTTTTTTTTTTTTTTTTTTTTGTTAAGGCGTTTTTTTCCAAAGTCGCAAAAGTATGACGTCACAACAATGTGATTGGTCACTTGCAATGTTGAAACTTCACACAACATTTATTATGATGATGTGGGAACAACACCGACACGAGGATATCAGAGGATATCAGATGGTGTGTAGCAATTTACCTTCAACACTTCACTCTCTGTGCCTCTTAGTTAACCATTGTTGGTGTGATTTTGATGCTATTTCAATAGAATAGAATTAAAATGAACTGAAAATTTCTAGGCGCAGACAGGAAGTAGAGGTTGGAGAGATTAGTGGTCACAGTGTCACCTGAGTGTGAAGTGTTTGTGAACAGAATCGACAGCCCCAAATCTGCAGCCATTGCTCTTAGCTGGGAAAAGGGCGAAGTGTGCGTTGCGAATGAGTTGCTGCCCCAAGCAGAGTTTCTTAAGGTCTTGTTTACCAGTGAGGGGAGGCTGAGGGGAGGCACGGTGGTTAGCACTGTTGCCGCACAGCAAGAAGGTCCTGAGTTCAATTCCACCATCAGGCCGGGGTCTTTCTGTGTGGAGTTTGCATGTTCTCCCCGTGTCTGCGTGGGTTCCCTCCGTGTACTCCGGCTTCCTCCCACCGTCCAAAGACATGCAGTTTGTGGGGATAGGTTAATTGGATAATCCAAATTGTCACTAGGTGTGAATGTGCGAGTGAATGTGAGTATGAATGGTTGTCTGTCCTTGTGTGTTAGCCCTGCGACAGACTGGCAACCTGTCCAGGGTGTACCCTGCCTCTCGCCCTATGACAGCTGGGATTGGCTCCAGCACCCCCCGTGACCCTGAAAAGGATAAGCGGTAGCGAATGGATGGATGGATGGGAGGCTGAGGGGAGAGCTGGGTAACTGGCAGACAGACTAGTGCAGCATCAGTAGCAACACTGTACTGGTTTGCGGTGGTGAAGTGCGAGCGGGAAACAGTCGATTTACAGTCCATCTACATTCCTACCCTTACCAATGATCATGAGTTGTGGATAGTGATTGAAAGAATGAGACTGCAGACAAAAGCGACAGCAGTTATCTTAGAGATAGGACGAGGAGCTTGGTCATTCGGGAAAGGCTCAGAGTATAGCTGCTGCTCCTCTTTATTGGAAAGAGCCAGTTGAAGCCTTCCGTCTGTCAGGAATGTTCCACTGTGAGAAGGCCTCGGGGTAGACCCAGCACACTGGATAGATTTTGACTCTGGGCTGCCTGGTTGTGTTTTTATTTCAGTTATTTTATATTGGAGTCTAAATGACCCAGATTAGTTCATCATTAAAATGCAAATGTAAACTCATGAAAACTAGTACAGATTTTTGGTTGACAAAATATGTAAAGAAACAAAAAGTAGCAAAAATAATAATAATCTATGTTTTCTTAGATGACATTAATTACCTTTGGTAGTCCATGAATGCAAAATATGTTCATCAGATGAAGGTTAACATGCACCTTATACTATACATTAGTGTCTAATAATAAATTACACAACACTGCGTGAGTTTTTTTTCTCTAGTATTCTGCCTTAAAGATCCTATATCAGTAAGCTCTATTCTTGAATATTTGTAATGTGTAAATTCTAATGTAAAATCTGACAGTATTTCGCATTGGATTCAGGAGACATTTGGTACAATAACTCTATCAGGAAAGATAAAATTTACTAAAGTTATAGTCAGTTCCAGTTTCAAAAGTTAATGATAAAATTTGACAACATAAATGACCCAGCAAAAATAATACAGGACTTAATGTGACGGTTTTTCTTTTTGACAGATGGAATGTGATAAGTAAAAACCAATACTGATGTGTGACAAAACAAGAAAGGAAATCATGGGTGAGTGAAGTTTGTTTTTATGAGATCCCTTTTTTTTTTTTTTTTTTACATACATGATACTTTTAGGTTTCTGTAGACTAATTGTATTTTGTTGTTTTAAACATTCCATGTTTAACTGGCTTTATCATCAGTGTATAATAACCAGACAGCTGAAAATGACTAACTATTTGCTAAATCTGAGCTATGGTAACTGCTTTAGTACAAACATCATCCTCTACTACAGCGGTCCCCAACCCTTTTTGCGCCACAGACCGGTTTAATGTCAGACAATATTTTCACCGACCGGCCTTTAAGGTGTCACGGATAAATACAACATGCTCTCTGGTTGCTATAGTAAAATGCGTAAGCATTTCGCATAAACACGGGAAAAGACCCAGGGAAACCAAGTTAACAATAAAAACTCTGAAAAACCCTGAAAACCATAAATTTCACACCTGAGCCTCAACTCTCGGGGCCCGGTACCAAACGACCGGTACCACTGCTCTACTACACCAACTTAACATGACAAAATTAAGTCAGATTAAAACATATTTAGATGTATGCACTTTACATGGACATCTTCACCATATTGTCCTTCTTCCTGGCTTAAGAACTTTTAAATGTTACAGCTTCTTTAGTTGAATAAATACCTACTATATTACCAAAAATATAGTAGGTATTCATTATTATTATTATTATTATTATTAATAAAGTATTGTTAATATAGTAGGATTTATTGTTAGCTGAAAATGACAAGTTGTGGGGGAATTTTCAAACCATTCTTTTAGGAAAAGGCAATAAAATACTATGAAAACACCTCAATACACATAAAGGTATTATTAGAAAATTGTACATAAAGTTTCAAAAGTAAAAATAATATATATACATAATATACATAATCTTCTGTAAAGCATATATTTGCAGTGGCTGTCCTGTGAGAAAAAAAGATCAGTTGTTTGTAAGCTCAGAATCACAGGCTTACATCTTTTTTTTCCCCACAAAGTGTATTCAAATATTAGTAACAAAAAAAACATCTAAAAAGGCTTGAGCCATGTGTGACATAGTTAGATATTATTTACAAGCAGAATATCAATGCACAATGAAGATATAGTGTTGGCAAAAGAGCTCATTACATCTGCTAAATTCAGACATTCCTATAGATGCTAATCTGACAGTTCTGTATTAGTGCTGCTGTCCCCTCTCCATCATCTTCAAAGTCATCTTCAAACTGCTTCCCCCTGCTCTCAGCCTACCAGGCTGAGCTGTTTCGGGACTTGGGCCACCTGCTGGATAAAGGTACTCCTACAGTTTGGGTGGAGATATTTATCGTCACTGATCTTGTTCTCTGGACCTCTATGGGCGATAAAAAAATAAATAAAAACGCCACTACCACGGCCACAGCCAGGCATAGAGTCAAGGATGTTTACAAAAAAAATCTGAAAGTGGAGGTCAGTCTGTCACCTGAGACATCCCCCAGGTCCATTAGCTGCCAGAGATGCATGTGCAGTCAATCCATGGGTGTTAACAACTGTTGCCAGGGATTACAGACTACAGTTTGCAACAAAACTACCCACTTTCAGTGGCGTGGGTTCAGTTGCTACAGGGGAAGCCACAAAGGCTTTAGAGAGCAAAATCTCCTCTCTCTTTAGCCGAGGGGCAATAAGAGGAAATTAATCTAGACTTTTATTCCAGATATTTCCTCATTCTGTCCCATTCTGGATTTACGGTCCCTCAATTCTCATCTCAGAAACTACAAATTTAGAATGTTAACACAAAATGTGCTGTTTGGATCTATTTGATGGAGTGACTGGTTCACATCTACAGAATGATTTCCACATAAGCTTTAGTCCAGCACACAGGAAATTCCTAAGGTTTGTCTTCCAGGGCATAGCCTACAAATATCAAACCCTCCATTTGGGATCGGCCCTTGCCCCAAGGGTTTTCACCAGGTGTGTTGAAGCAGTTCAGAGCAACCATTTGACCTGCTTCAACACACTTGGTGTGTTGAAGCAGGTCAAATGGTTGCTCTGTTTCGCAACAGAAAGCTGGTCTCATTAAGAACTTGTATTTAACTGGGCTGGTAGGCACTGAAAACTGCTGCAGATCTGCTCTCCAGATCTTCTTTATGGAGAATGGGCACTCAATACAGAAATAGTGCACCAGCTGTGCATAGAGGTTTGGCCAGGCGAACCTCTATGCACAGTTCCTGTCTGCAGTTTTTCCCAAATTATAGAAAGGTGGCTCTGTGCCCTAAGCCTACCTTTGTGTCTAAGGTTAGGGAGTCTACCATTGGAGCTATCAGCTTTTCATCCACCGGCCATTTGCTGATTAGAGCCAGAGGCGGCTTAATTCACTTTGTCCTGTCTGCGCATTATGCATTTAGCTAAACAGGACTCAGGGGTTTAGGAAAAGCAACCAATTCTTTGTGTCCTGGGCTACCTCTCATAGAATGAAGCCTATGTCACATCTATGGCACAGGGGCTATTATAAAAGGATGTCTGTGTATGCAGCTTGCCTCTCGCCACATACATAATGCGATTAGGCGGAACGGCGAAAAAATGTTTTAATATACAAGGAATTTCAAAATAAAGAAGCAGTATAATATATTGTCAGTTTTTGTCATAAATAAAAAAAGTTATTGTCACACATATTATTTAACTGATGTTTTTATGCATAGGGTAATTCATGTTTTGTTCTGCTTTTTTGTCCTTTCGCAGCTGACACACCTCAGCAGTCACCCAAGAATTGGACTGAATCTGAAGTAAGCACCTGGCTAAGATCAATTGGAGTGAAGGAACAGTACATAGAAAAGCTCCATGAAGAAGAAGTAAATGGACAAATCCTACTTGCACTAAATGAGGACTTTCTAAAAACAAAAATCTACATGAAGTCAGGGCCTGCTCATTTGATTATTCAGAGAAGAGATGAGCTTATCAACTCTCAGCAAAAATGTCAAGAAAAGAAAAAAACTACTGGTTCCAAAAGAACTGAGTTTGAGGAAAAGAGGAGTCAGAAATTGGTTCAGTCTCTTTCAACAGTAAGTGATGGTCCTCCAGCACAAACTACAGAGACAGAACAAGATGTCTTTGAGGAGAACCACGCTTCTCAGGAACAATGTGTGTTAATCTCAAAGGAAGACTGTAAACCAAGGCCATTTGATCAAGAAGGGATTGATTTTTTATATGTGAAACACAGAATCCTGCAGCCTGAATCAGGTGCTTTTAATCTGATATCGCCATGCCACGAATTTAAGTCTTTTGCTGTAGCTGCTACATTGGATCGCACAAGACTCCAAGCTAAGTTTGCCAAAGAGGTTCTTAAATTTGCAGCTGGTTGTATGAATATCAGATCAAATGGCACAATACACTTTGGTGTGATGGACAGCAAGGAGGATGGAGAATATGTGCACGGCGAGATAACTGGTATCCCTGTAACAGACAAAGATATTTATGTCGATGCTTTGGACTACATTGAAAGGAGTTTCTCCTCTGACAAAGAGCACATACGCCAGTGTGTGCGACCGCCAAGGTTCATTGAGGTTATAGATCGACAAAGTACAGAAAAGCGATATGTGGTAGAGGTTGACATTGTGCCATTAATAAGTATTGTCAAGAACAAAGTGTATGCAGTCCGTCTGCCAAACTTCAAAGAATCAACAAACAAAGTAGAGTTTGAGAAAGAGATGATTTTGCAAAGAGTGGGTTCAAAAACGGAGCCAGTGAGTGACAAGGACCTAAGTGACTTTTACCAAAGAGTCAAAGATCGTGATGCTCAAAGAGAAGAAGCAGAAAAAAATCATTTCCTTATTGCTCCAGAAGTGTGTCAAGACCTTGGAAGAAAACTCACCATGCTGATGACCAGTGGTAAGAAATTCATTGAAAAGGAAAAATGGTTCATACTCGTAACAAACAAATTCAAACCTGATGACCTTTGTAACATTGACTGGCTGATTAACATGAATATTTTCTGCGTGTTTGACTTTGACCCAGACTCAAAGATATCAGGTCTTTGCAGTAGATACCTTGAGTACCGTGCTGCAAACATGCATTTTTTGCAAAGCTACAGAATATCCACTGGCACAAGCATCAAAGAATTCACAAACCACCTGCATTTATTTGATCAAACTAGTTGGATCTTTTGCAATGGCCATACTGACTTCAAAGGAAATGAAACTTCATGTGACGAAATGACTTGGATCAAGACAAAAATGACTTTACTCCGAGAGTCTGTGTCTTTGATCTGTAAACAGATTTTGCCAAAAGGTACATTCCAGGTCATATTCCTATTAACATCACCAGTTGAGAAACCACTCTTGCACACCTTCTATGAGTTTTTCACAGACATGGAAGGCCATGAAGACATCATCTGCATCTGTGAATCAGAGGAAAACTTCCATAAGTGGCAAAGCTTTGCAGAGGGTTCATGTGGGAAAGAAGCTGTAAACAATTCCAGTGTTGTTGGAATGAAAATGAGCCACATTAATGCAACTCTGCAACATATACAACCTATGAAAGTGTGTTTCACCAAACACTTGCCGGTCTTTGTGAAAGGAACATGTCGTCTTGAAACACAAGTAGAGGAACAGATGTACTCATTGGAGATTCTAACGGTCAATCATTGCAATGAAACATGCAAAGAATTCATCAATGAGAAAAAAGAAAACATTGAGCGCCAGTTCTACCATGGTGGGAGAGTGACCTGGTTGAATTTCTGGCTTGCTGAGAACAAATATGCTGGAGAGGTCATTGAAAGAGATGCTTATCACGAGACTTCCAAACTTCTCAACGATGCCTTGAAATATAATGCAGACCAGACTCCAGTGAATATCATAAACATCTACCATCACCCAGGAAGTGGTGGAAGCACTGTGGCAAGACAAGTGCTGTGGAACAACAGAAAAAGTCTAAGGTGTGCGGTTGTGAAGCCCTCATATCCAGTTTCTGTTGTTGCACAACATGCAGTTGAACTAAGAGAATATGAAGAAAAGGATCCACAGAGATGTCTTCCTGTGCTGCTCCTCACTGAAGACTCAGACAAAGAATATCTAGATGATCTCAGGAATGAATTAGAAGTTGCAGTTAATGTTAAACAAATCCAGTATGGCACCCTGTGTTTCATTTTGTTGAGCTGCAGACGCTCCCATGATCCAGAGAGAAGATGCAAGGAGTCTCCTTTACAGAATGTGTCTGTCACTCATAAACTGTCTGATCAAGAGAAGAGAAAGTTTTCTGGAAAACGGCAGGCACTCGAGGAAAGATATGAACCTCAATTCATTCTGACATTTGTTTTGATGAGTGAAGGATTCAGTGAGGTTTACGTTCATCAGTTTGTGAAACATCTGCTCCAAGACATTGACCGTCACTCTGTTGTCACTCGACTCATTCACTATGTAGCATTGCTGAACACAAATGTTCAAAACTCTTTCATCTCTCAATCGCACTGTGAAGCTTTGCTTGCCTTAACGATCCACTTGGAGAGGTTTCGCCACTACGAGTTTGAGAGCTCTCTAAGTGATCAGGCTAAGCTAGTCTTCTTGCACCTTCGAGATGACAAGACGCACATTGAATCAATCAGAATCATCCACCCACTTGTTGCAAAAGAAATTCTTCAACAACTTCTGGGACCCCAACAAACTCAAAGCAGTTTGGCGATGGATTTGCTCCACGAGGATGTGCTCTTTGAGCACAGATTTGGAAGAGATGAGTATCTCACATTTTTGAGACAACTTTTCATTCGGAGATCCAGGATAAGCAAAGGAGATAAATATGATAGCTTTTTCTCTCCTTTCATTGAGCATGTGTGTGAAAATGAGAAAAGCCCAGACAAAGCAATTGAGTTGCTCAAGGAAGCATTCGAGCGTTTCCATAATGATCCATTCTTTGCACAACAACTTGCTCGTCTTCATTATACTTATGAAAAGTTTGAAGAGGCTAAACACTGGGCAGAGACAGCAGCTAAACAGCTGCCCAACAACTCTTATATACTTGACACAAAGGGACAGGTATATAAGAAATGGTTCCAAGCAAAATGTAAAGCAATTGAAAATGTACCAAAGACGGTGCAAAACACAGCAGATGCTGTGGAAACTGCACTGAAAGCACTTGAGTGTTTTCAAGAATGTGAGAGAGCAGCTGATGCTGATATGGAAAATGTCAACACTTCAGGATTTTTTCACGAAGTTGAGGTTGGGTGCAGCCTGCTCAAACTGATTTCTTCATTACAAGTGTTTGCAAACAGATCCAATGGCCATGCAGAATGTATGAAGTACCTGTTAACTGATTACATCCCAGAGGAAGTTGAAGATGTTTGGGAACCATTCCATAACCGTTTGAAAAAACTTCACAAGACAATGCAGGATGCATTGGAGTGGATTTCAGAGGACCTGAGTTACTTCCAGACAGACATTGGTGCAGATGAAGAAGAAACACCTGAAAGTCCCGAGGAGAAAATAAGCCATCCACTGACATGGCTGGCAAAAAAATCCTCTGAGTATGGAAAGTACTTCAGTGAAGCGTATTCCACTGCAGTCCTACAGCATGGTAAATCAATCCCAGCCAACCTCACTCCTTTCCAAAAACGCATGATCATCTATCATCTTGGTGGCGGCAATATAACATCCATCCTTTCCAAGATAACTGATCAGAGGGATGCAGTAAAACTTCTAGAGCATATAATTTCTCTCTACCCCAGTAATCCATTAAAAGCCAAATTCGGTCAAAGGGACATTGTCAATTACATTGTGGCCCATATTTCTCTGAACTGCCTGTCACCGCAAACTCACAAGGTAGCTCATTTGAAAGATCTACAAGCACTTTGTTGTCAGTTTCCATCTGATAAAAGGAAATGTTTGCCAAGTGCCCTGTTCTTGCTTACATTGCTATTCTGGCCAGAGGATGACGACACAGAGCATGAGAAAGAAACCAAATATGAAATTGTACAATCAGCAGTTGAACACCTTGAAAAGGGTTACTGGAGCAAGATGAAAGACATTCCTCAGCGGAAGAGAAGGATTTATAGCCATTTTTTTCTGGGCAATGGGAATGGATTGGACAAGTTTGTCCACAAGAAAAAGTTTGAAAGAATCACCAAGTGGTTCTCAGTCAATGAGAAACGCATGAAGTGGTTTAGTGGTGAGGCATGGAAGATGCCAGAGATTGCCACAATGCTGAAGCGGGTTTCTGGGTGGACTGAAGATCGTGTGGTTTATCTTGAAGGTCCTAAGAAAAAGAAGTTCAATATCCTGCCTCTCTATGTACCTTCAGTGCCTCATAGTAATGAAAACATCACCTTCTACCTGGGGTTCACCTTTAGAGGCCCTGTTGCCTGCAACATCCTTGTGAAAAAGTAGTTGGTTGTCAACTTGCTGAAGCGTGGGCCTAGAATCCAACTTACTCCAAAGGGAAAGAAAAGATTGTGGATGATGACTGAAAAACCCACAAGCTTTGGACTGTTAGTCAGTTGGTCAAAAAACAAAACTTAAAACATGATTATATTCGTGAAGGTATTTAAGGTTCTTAAAAATACAACTGAACTTGCTTTGTTATAATATTGGCCTCACCTAGAAAGCACTTTGGGGTCATTTCAGCTTAAAATTGTTCTTTTTAAGTGTACTATATAAAGGGAAAAAAATTATATATTTACTCTGAATTTACAAATTAATACAAATGTATTCCTTAGCTTGTTAAATGTAATTTTTTAGGGTTCTGGTTGTTTTTGAATTCCTCTGTTTTCCTGTTTGTACTTCTAGTTTAGAAGGACTGAAGTTCATACTTGGCTGACAATTTGTACACTGATTTTACAAGCTGTCTTATACATGTTTATGTAAGCAAACCTAACGTGCAACCATTCAGAATGCATAGCAATATCAATGGTTGTCAAATTGTGTTCCATTTTACATTATAAGTGTTCTTAAAATATGTAAAGAAAAAAAGAAAAATTTAATACATTAAACTCTTTTTCCATTTATGATTTTCTGTTGTTGATTCTTTGACATTTCTTCTCAATTTGATATCTCCACTCCAGCTTAAAATAAAATTATGATTTAACATTGGAACAACTGTCAGCTTTTAATGCAGACTTAACTGGAAGATGAACTTCCATTACATCAGAGGGTGTGGGACTGATAATTCATGAAGTATGTGAAAAGTTTTGTCTATTGCATGATGCATAAATGCAAAAGTAACATGAAGAACTGTGCACCTTTGAGTTAACTATCTTAGAAAAAATGTGGGTCCTGAAGGAAATCAGAATGGGAAAAATGGAAGTTAGAAGCTGTTAATGTACCAAAAAACAAAATGTATTGCATTTTTTTCATAATCTCTATCAAAGCCTTATCATTCTTGCTTTTTTTGTTTTGTTTTGACTTGGATCAAAACAAAAATGACTTTACTCCGAGGGTCTGTGTCTTTGATCTGTAAACAGATTTTGCCAAAAGGTACATTCCACGTCATATTTCTATTATAATCACCAGTTGAGAAACCACTCTTGCACACCTATGAGTTTTTCACAGACATGGAAGGTCATGAATACATCACCTGCATCTGTGAATCAGAGAAAAACTTCCAGAAATGGCAAAGCTTTGCAGAGGGTTCATGTGGGAAAGAAGCTGTAGACAATTCCAGTGTTGTTGGAATGAAAATGAGTCACATTAATGCAACTCTGCAACATATACAACCTATGAAAGTGTGTTTCACCAAACACTTGCAGGTCTTTGTGGGAGGGACGTGTCTTCTAGAAACACATGTAGAGGAACAGATGTACTCGCTGGAGATTCTGACGGTCAATCATTGTGATGAAACAAGCAAAGACTTCATCAGTGAGAAAAAAGAAAACATCAAACACCAGTTCTGCATTTTTATGTCCTTATAATATATAAAAATAATAATAATGAACTAAAAACATTAAACTTCTTTTTTCAGTTTCAGCTTCTACAGTTCTGCTCAAACTAAAAGAATTATTTTACAGTGGAACAAATATCACCTAATAACGCAGACTTAATGGGACAATGCCATTACATCACAGGCTTGATAATTCAGATAATTCGTGTACAGAATAGTCTTAAATTGGTCACATAGTCTGTGCATATCAATATGAAAATGAAAAGTGAAATAAAAACGAGCTATGCTCCTTTGACGAGAAAACCCAATGCCAAAAAAGTTGGGACACATTAAATATAAAGAGACCACATAAGGATCTCTCCAGATCTTCTCCAAATCTTTTGATATTATGTATAGTAGATGAGGAGATACTCAAAGTAAAATTTTCTGCATTGAGGAACATTATTCTGTAATTTTTTAATATGTTTTTAAGACTGGTAAATCTCTGGTTTCTATACTTCTGAGAAACTCTGAGATGCTCTTTTTATATTGGTCATGTTACTGCTGCCAGTGAACCTAGTTAGCTGCAAAATGTTTCTCCAGCTTTCTCTTTTCAGTGCCACTTACTTTTTAAGACTTGTGTTGTGCCCATTATGTTATTCTAATTTAAATATTTAGTTTGTTTTCTATGTTTTATTGTGAATAAAATATGAGTTTATGATATTTGCAAATCATTAAACTTTGTTTTTATACACATTTTAAATAATGTCCCAATTTTTTTTGGAACTTGGGTTGTAACTGCCACTGCTCATTCGTACAATACAGAAATCAGATTTGGAGGTAAGTTATAATTATTTTATGAAATATAATTAATGTTTTTAATGATAAAAGATAACCATCTGGTTTCTGTTTTTCATCTAAACTATTGCTATTTTGATCACTTTTGTCCCAGTATAGTGATGGGATTTCCGGCTCTTTTTAGAGAACTGGCT